TCAGTAAGCACCATTTATATAAGAACATGTTGAGGCTACCTTGGAACAATCTATGTTCTTATACGCGGGTTTTTACTGTATGCCAGCTGCCGGGCATATTATAGCCACTCTGTTTATTTTTTCGCTTCCACGTGCAAAACTGACACATTGTATATTTTCCCGGTCACATCCTGCGCGTAACGAATTTTTCTTTCCTATATCAACGCGTCAATGTATAGCGATCATGTTTATACATAAGTCATCATTGTGAAATGAACGTATTGTGAAATATTCACGTAAAGGGGCATTCAATTATAATATATATATAATCAAGTATATCAAGAGCTAATATAATACCTCTTATTATTTATTATTAATTATAGGTATTATTAATTATAGGTATTATTAGCTCTTGATATATATATATACATATATAGTAGGTTATATACGATTATAATAATATATCCAACAATGATAATTGTCAGTATATTTGTCACAGTAGCTAAATATCACACATAGACAAATGTGGCAAGTCATATGTTACTATATTTCACCATGGATATATTATACAAATACATAAGTCATAATGATTTCGCCACGCTTGCGTCGTCAGCAAGCGACTGCAGCGGCTGCAGCTGCAGCGGCAGCGGCTTGCGGCAGCAGCAGCGGCTTGCAGCGGCTGCAAGCGGCTGCAGCTGTGGTGTTGGCGTTGGTCACGCACATTCTCGCAACCAATCGATCAGCCGCTCTCCGTTCTCGTGAGACGCCACATCCAAAATGGCTGTTTAGCAAGCAGGTTGAAAACAAGTTGCTGTAGATTACTAGATAGAGTGAAAATAGTAATTTTATAGACATCGTTGTGTCATACCGAGCACAATGAACAGGCATCAAGTGCTGACTGGAGCCGCGAACCGAGGAGATCATACCTTTGCAGTTGGCAGCATTGACGGCGTAAATTTCACCGTAAGTTTTGTCAAACTACAGACTCAATTTGGAGACTTCGACTGGAGTTTTGCTAACTGTGGGATGATGTTGACATGTTGTTACTACTACTACTAGTTCTAGTCTAGTAATGCTCCTGTGTTAGTAAGCACCCTAGCTGCGCGGTGCTTGCTAGTCCTTAATGTTAGAACGTATATGTCTTTACGCCGGCTCAAAACCTTTAATAGTTACAACTAGTACTAGTAGTAGTACAAGTTGTACGAACACATGAACAGTGTAGGACACATTCTACAACTTCAAACTTGTACAACTACAAGTACAAGATATTCCATTCACCATGAATGATCATGTGGGTACTAGCCCAATTAATTATGAATCTGTAGAGTACGTAGTAAGCATTTTCTACTCTACCGCACTAGCAACTATATTACTGACCTCACAGATAAATAAAGAATGGGTGTGCCCATAGTTAAACTCATAGTCATAGGGTCTATGTCCCCCAGGGTACTGCCGGAACGTACCCTGGGTACGGTCTGGTATACCGGAATGTACCCTGGTCACTATTTGATATGGTTAGGGTTAGGGTTAGGGAGTAGGCGTAGGCGACTCTCTAGACTCGTTAGTGGAGTAGGCGAGATACGGTCCGGCATATTAGATAGTACCAGGGTACGTTCCGGTATACCGCGTACCCAGGTACGTTCCGGCAGTATACCCCGGGGGACATAGACTCTCTGAGCCATAGTTAATTTTGTGAATTTTGTAATAGTACAGGGTTTCTTCTGAGGGAAATTTAGACAAAAAATGTAATGGCCAGTTTGGGAAAAAATGTGCATGATGGATTCAAATTCAGGATGTATTGATATATTTATAGGTATATAGATAATAGATACAGGATATACTTATTAGTAAATACAGGAACATCTTCACAGCGGCGATGTTAAATTTGACAACGGCGGTGCGCCACTGTGCCTCCTATGTATAAGAAACCCTGTAGTAGACAGGTCTGCGTTTTAAACTAAACTCCCATTTCCTGGTTGCTGATTCAATTTTAATCTCATACCTTCACTAATAATTTCAAAACCGTTCCTAAATTGCCATTTCAACAACAATCATCGCATGTCCCACGTACGTATCCACCCACATTTGTTGTGATTGTAACATGCTCACATAATGCCAGTACTAGTGGTCAAGCTACTTGTTATTCTAGACTAGGAGTTCTTACATGGAATTTCACTCCTCTAAGATGGTACTTACATGTGTCTTGCATTAGGCTTATATACGGGTTTGGTTGAATGATGACAAAAGTGTATCCGATAGTAATCTATTTCTTACTGTAACCACAGCCCCAATATAGGTCATTGTATGTGCGCAGAGTTTTATTTCTAAGCTTTTTACTGGTACATGTAACTATACCTAAGAGTAGGACATAAGCCTGTATATGCCTCAGAGCACAGTAAACAATACTGTGAATTTAATTAAAACTGCTTAGCTACTTTCATCATAAAAATGGACAAATGGTGCTGCTAAGATGCAAGATGGTGTTATCCTACGATAAAAATTGTAACAACAGAAATGTCTGCGTGCTAGGCTTGGACTAGGGTCATGGACTAGGGTCATGCCAGGGGCATGGAGCAAGGTCATACCAAGGTTATGACGGGTCAAGGTTACTACATCAGGTTATTGGGTGGACACTAAAGGTTCTTTTGGGGGTGTGTCAAGACACCAGTTATTTTCATTATCTGAATACTTATCAATATTTATTCTTTTAAAGCGGATAAGCCACCAAAAATCTCATTTCCTGTAGTGAACTATAATGTCGTATAGTATTACCCGCCTGCAAAATTTTTGAAAAACACAAACGTTTTAATGGCCGTTGAAGCAATTTAAGATGTGACAATATCAAAATTAACCGCTTCGAACAGAAAATTGGTGTGGCTTACTACCGCTTTAAACATGACGTCCTAGTACCGCTCGTAGGGTCTATGTCCTCCTGACCTCTGTTTGACCTGGCTCGTTTAGCTATTTTTGACTAACGCTAGCCCTAACCCTAACCCTATATATATTATACATTATATATATATATTACTATTAGTCAGAAATAGCTAAACGAGCCA